ATCTCAGTCCTTCAGAAATGTACTTCTCATGCCATCTGTGTGGTAACAAATTTAGAAAAATGAGTAGTATCTTGGCAGTCTTAGCAAAATGTGCTCAGGATGCAGAGGAGGGTGGTGGGGGGTTCCTACCAAATAGGGCATTCAGTATCTGAGTCAGAGGCAATGACAGCATCTAAGCAGGGGGCTGTTTTCTAAGAAATATGCCATTAATTTTGTGGAGCCTGACACAACTGTGCTGCATTTCAGCTGAAGCCATCCCCTTCAGTCCTGCTGATGGCCTTGTCAGTACAGAGCCTCCAGGTCTGCAGCTCTCCTTGTCCTCTGCACCTTCCCACATGCACTGCAACAAGCTACTTAACAGGAAAGACTCTACAAGAACATCCCAAAAACAGCCTGTTTAAAACCAGTGGCCATTTTATGAATGACCAACGTGAACGATCCCATCTCTAAAATACAGGTAATCCTGTCTCTTTATTTCCCAATGCAAGTGCAGATCATGGACATTTGAGAAGTGTCTTGAAAATTGCAGGAGATGATAACATCAATAACAGCACACCATGAGATGCAATATTATTACAATAATAATGGCTCTCATTTCAGACTCCTGCATTTTTCAGGTCATCAACCAAAAACATTAGCAAAACACAGCCCTTCAGGAGATGAAAAATCTTTGCAGTGTAATGCAAGCTGCTTCATTCAATTTATTTATTCTCCCCTATGCTGTGCAAAGTGCCTGCCACCATCCCTCCAACTACCAAGAGAATTGAGAGTGCCCCTTCTCACATAAAAAAGATTAGGCCCTCTGATGAAACTAAAGGGAAATCTGAGAGCAGCTGGTCACAGCCTTACATTCCTGCAGTCTTGCACTTTTTCTACATTTTTTTCCCCTTTGAGTCTTGACCTGTAATCTTCATCAGTGATGTCAACACTGAAACCACAGGGACAAACCATGCAGATCAGAGTCAAACCTAAAGGAAAGTAGCTCAGCTAAGCTACTGCAGGCCCAGCAAGGCATCTAGTACCTCCCAGCTGTGCCTCCCTTCAGGGGGGAAGAGAGGAGATAGCTGAGCAGCTTTCAGCAGCCCTCATCCCCAAGCCAGAAGCGGTAAGAGCAGCATACAAGAGCTCTGCATGGTTCTGCTGTGCTAAAAGGCAAACGCTGCCTACTTTGCAAACTGAGCTCTCTGTGTTGTTGAGAGAGATGAGAGTTCCCCAGCAAGAGCCTTCCACATCTTCCAGGGCAGGAAGAATTTTGCTTTGATCTTGAGAACAACTGCTGAGGCCTGTGAACATTTCTCCCATCTCTTCTGCTCTACCTGCTGGTTTTGTCATTTCGCCTCATTATTCCATCCCTCCTTTCCTTCCTCCAGATTAAGAGTAGCAGACAACAGCCGGGCAGACAAGGACCCAAAAAGCAAAAGAAAAGCCTTGCTCTTGCTTTAGGGTAAAATATAAGAAGTTCTCTGTGTATGTGTACCTACATGTCAGGTACTTCCTACTGCTCCTACTTGGACTTCACCCCTGCCCCGCCCTTTTTAACATTTGAGGTTAAAGTCTACAGAAAAGAATGTTCCAAACTTCAAAGTTAAATGCAAAAGTGGTATTGACAGCACAAAGTTCTGTGAACATGCATGCAAAAACCTGATCCCCTCTTCTTACTTCCCTTGCTTTCAACCTTGATGAGAACCTTCCTTGGTGAGAAGCATCAACAGGAAGTTAAAAAGAGCACACCAAAAACTATTTTTTTATTCTTATTTTTTCTTTAGGGTGCTTTTATTATATTAAACTGTGTTAACACTACAAAAACAAAGGCAACTCTTGTGGGAACAGGAGGCTGCTTTTCCCTATTGTTCGCAGAGAACCCCTGGATGTTGGAATGGATGATATGTTAATTTTGTGGCACGGGCGCTCAAGGGAGGACATAGCAAAGTCTCCCATGGTACAGTGCACACAATTTACAATGGGCATGGTTAGGGTTTAATTGTTTGTTACAGGCCTTCCAAAGATGCTTCTCCAAAGCAAAAATGCTACAAAATACATTTTTTTCTAATCACATCAGAAAATCTTCAGTTCATAAAGCACAATTTCTGAGCTGTTACGGTCAACAGCTGCTCGGATGTTTGAAGGAGGAGCTGGCAAAATAAAAAAATGAAAAACCAAAAAAACTAAAACAGGCCTCAGAGATTTCATGTCCTATAAAATAGCTCCCTACAATCTGTTTAAATGTCCTTTACTTCAAGCAATATTCCCAAGACTGTAGACCATTTCAGGGCAATACTTGCAGCAAGAACTCCTTGTGTTCCTTCTGCTTAGGGGGCTCCACAAACACACCGTAAGATTTATGTCTTTCCCTTTCAAAATAACCTCATGCAGTTGTCTGCAAAAATTAATTTATATAAGCATACAGAAGAAAGGAACATGTTAGCTCAGGCTGTTGATTTTTTGGGGTTTTTTTTCAGGTTTTTTTTGGTGGGGGTGGGCTGGGGGAGCAATCACTAATATCTACCATAAATCTCTCACTCATAGCCTCAGCTCACACGCTAGCACCACCTCTGTCTCACACACACTTTCCTTCCCATCTTTCCCTCTCTCCCTCCCCACAGCCATGCCAGAATGCGTCCAAGTTGGCTGTGCAGTGTTGCTGATTAAAATCTGCCAGTAGTGAGACAACTCAGTATTGAGCCTACAAGGAGACTGTGTATTTATGAATGCAATAATTAATCAATGCATAATAAGCAGACACTACACATACCACTTTTCTCTCCATACACAGACAACTTCAATTACCATGCAGGTTTCACTGTCACGACAATCTTCAGTTCCCACTAGCTGCTCCCCCACCCTGCAGCATTAGCAAAGACAAGCTCACTGTGTTAGAGCCTACATTAATCTGCAAACCCACCCAAATACTGCTAAACTGATTAAATTTGCAGGTAGAGGTTTTCAGAAGAAAATGCCATAGTTAGTGCCACAACGACTAGGCTGTCACAATTTTCTTTTTACTTTTTTCAGAGGCTCAGCTGCAAAGTGTACTCAGAGATGTGAGCTGACAGACTGGTTTGCATCTTAAGAACATATTTCATTTTAATGGCTTTATTTTTAAATTGTTTCAACTCTTTGAATTAATGGAGACTTAAAAAAAGAAATGAGACTGACAAAAATGTAAAGTAGAATATTTTCCCCGTTTTTCACCTGTCTTTTAACATCAAGCTATATTTATTTTCAAGAAACTCAATAGTACCCAGTAACAGGACTGCACACCTTTACCCCTTCAGTGTCCATCCTCTCCAGCACCACTTTCTGCCCAAATGGAAGAAGAGAGATACTTTGCCCCAGAGATGAGCTTCCCTGCTAACCCTCTGCTAAGCCATTTGAGCCTGCCCTGATGATACCTGGGGGTGAGTAATCACCCTAAGTTTTAATTGCAGTGCCATGGGCACAGCAGATGATTATGTGCCCTCCCTCAGCCAAGGGCCAGTGTTTATTGCAGACTTGCTGCATGTAGGGACTGACCAGAAGGTTGCAGAGATCTGCATTTGGCTCTGGAGCTGCTGCCTAGAGGACACTAATACATATACATATATATATATAAATATTAATACTTTGTAACAGGCCACAAAGGGGATGACATGGCTTTATTCTGCCAATATGCAGAGATTAAGGGTTTCTGCTTGAAGCCACTAACAACCTGAACAGGAGAATTACAGTAATTCCACTAAAACCACACCAAATCCAAGGGACTGGCTGATGGCACGTTGTTACTCTTCCCACTTCTGTCAAGAATGTAGCTGGCACAACCCTGTGTACAAGACTTCAACCAGCTACTCCAGGAGCTACTCCAACTTAAAGAACGGTCTTAGAGGAGCCACACACAGCAGTGGGGACATTTCCCAGGAGACTTCTCAACATTTTGAGACCTAAATACTCAACATACATCAGTTTCTAAAGGGAAGTCAAAAATAGCAGTTAGCATGTGAAACACAGCTGAAACTCATGCCACTTACACCAGTCCATTTCAGTGCACAGCATTTCACAGCAAACAACAGCTAGATACTCCACGAAAACCCTGCACTGCTTTAAGCCATGAGGTCACTGTTAGGACCCAAACACTGTTGTCATGACATCAATTAGCAACACTTTGCCTGTGCCAATGCCATTATTAATACCTTGAAATACTAATCTCTATTACTAATTAACAGTCAAATGCACTAAATAATTATTCATGTATTAGGAATGTATTACTGAATTCAATTACACTTTGAGAGCTGAGACTTATGAATCCTTCCCACAACACTACTTGTGCCAGAAAATATCCTTAAAAATTCAGCAACATTTAAAAGGCTTCTCATAACCAAGATACCTGTAGGTTGGAATAAACTGTTAGGCCCTGGCTCTGCAAGGCAGACAGGAGTCTGTCCACATGTCTGACTGTATCTCACCGTTTCCAAATGCAGCAGCCACACTTAACAGCTACAGTTACTCTACAGAAATTTAGCAATTCATCAATGAGAATACCCATGCTTGACTGGAAATTCAGATCTTCCCTAAAACTAAGCCTGGCAACACAAGGAAGGATGCAGATGCCTCTATGTGTTTTGAAAACTAAATGTTATTCTGAACACAAAATATTGATTGTTTCAAGGAAATTACTGGCCTTCTGTTTGAACACAGCACAAAAACTAGTGAATATGCATTTTGAGAAAGATTTCACTTCTACATTCATTTAGAGCCTTGATATTTAGGTATTTTGGATGGAAAATTGGGATGCAGTGAGAATCTAGACGACTGATGAGCAGTACATACAGGAAATGTTATTTATATTGTGTGATGCTAAACCAAGTCGGTTAAACCCACAGTTTAGCAATGATACTGTAGCTTTGTGCACACACATCCAGACTAAGTACCTGCATTTTTCTCATGCAAACACACACACAAACTGGTGTGTACACTCCGGATTAAAAAAACAGCAGTCAGCAAACAAAGAATATTAAATACTATACCTTTGAGTCATAATCTTATAGGCATCTGGCAGATAACAGCGGATATTCTCCATCTGAGCAGGATCAGAGTCACAGATTTTATCATCAGTCCTGCCGTAGTTGGCGCTTTCGATCATGATAACATCTGTTCCCGGGCAGCGCAGCTCGATGGGGTAACTCTCGCAGGACAGCTCCCTTCGGACCACAGCCATGGGCACTGGGGCACGGCTGAAAGCTGCAAGGATTAACACAGAGACACAGTCAACACCGACTTCCCACACTGAGGCTGAAGTTAAAAGCAGAATCGCGTTCAGCAGCAGGTTTTGCCCGTATGCTGTGCTTGGATAGATTCGGTACCACTCAGATAAGATCTGCAGAAACGGGGTCCGGTCGCTGGCTTGCTGGCTGCCCAGAGAAATCACTTCTCCACTCAGTGACTTGATTCTCTCATTTTAAAAACAAGCTACAGATGCCTTGTATACAGGGCTTTAGAAATCCCTTATTGAAAGAGGTAAATAGCAACTATGGCATTGTTATTATTTCTACTTACCAGGTGAAAAATTAGTTGGCTCTGATATATAAAATTACAGTCCTGCCTTGTACTTGAACAAGCAAAGAAAATTTTATGACAACAAGCAATCCAAGCACCGGGATCCCACCTGCTCAGCAAGATTGCACCTGTCCTACAGCAGATGTAATAACATCTGTATTGCTCCTGGTCCTTTTCTTAGCCCTTAGAAAAAGTGATCCTAATGGCTTTTGCTGTAGCCTGCAGCATGCCAGGGGATGGCCTGCAGGTTCTGGAAACCATCCCAAAGTCTGGGCCCTGTAGTGGTACTTTCCATGGAAAGGCCAGTTTATGGGACACCACATAATTTACATTCAGCCTTAGCTTTGCATTGGATCTGCCTAGTTGGTCAAATAGCTGGCAAATACTTGTGAAATTAAAGAGCTCTCAGAAATCTTACCTGTTTTAAAAGAAATCCAGGCTACAGTTTGCAAAAGAAAAAAAAGAAACACACTTTGAGATGCCTTGAAAACAAAGCCCTAAAGTATTAGTAAACAATGTCACTTGACAACAAGCAATTGTATTTCCCATCTTTACAGCCTCTTTGATCCAAAGATCTTAAACAGCTTGACGAATGTGAATATATTAATCCCCAAATATCCACATGAAGTAGCTATGCATTGTCTTTCTCAACTCAGTCACAGAGGGGTTTTGCAGCTTCCAGAAGATCTCATGGGATATCCATGGTGATGCTAGGAACCAAATATTTCCCAGCCTAGCACACCTAGTCACAAGCTGAAATAAAAACAGAGGTTTAAGCCTCCAGTAGACCCATGGCCCATCTGATACCAGGCATCTTTCAGCAACTCCCTTTCCTCCTGGCCCCATTATAAAAACACCAAAATACCCTCTGCCTAAACCAAAACCCCATCCAATGTTCTGCTGGTTTTTTCCATAGAACTTCCCCATGGTACACGCATACCAAGTTTGCTTATGGAAAAGAGTACATTGATGTTTCTCAAAATACCATTTTGACCATATCAAGGCTGCCTGTCTGTCAGGCAGCAATCCAACACACTGACTTCCATGAATCCTTCTATTATTATCAGTTGTTTCATTTATGTATCACTGGACAGATTCTTAGATTCTGATTTCTGTAAATCTGCAGGGATCACTTTGATATCAGACCCTCCCTGATGTGCCAGAGGTGTGGACTAATTGCCAAACTCCCAAGAGAGACATGTGCTTATTCTTGAATAATAGTTTGCACAATTAGCACAGCTTTAGGGTTTGGATCACTTGAGATGTTCTCCTTCCCTGAGATCAGAGAAACGGCTTTGCCCTGGGCTCATACTGCACCATGTATTTGTGTAACACAATAAATTCTCACTGCCACCAACTTCTCCTGTTACAAGAGGAGGAAAATGAGGAGGACAGGCATGAACCTCTAAGGTGCACTGCCTCATTCTTACCCTTGGCTTGATACCACCAGTCAACAAGGTGAGTGGAGGAAGGATGGGACAATGTCAGAGACAACATTTGACAGAAGAGATAAGCCAGAAAGGCAGAGCCAGCAGATCCCAGAAATTTTTGCCTACCCTACAAACAGCTTCAAGAGGCATTAAGTTAGCTTACAGGGATTTGTCCACAGAAACCTGCACCAAGCCCTGCTCTGTCAAACACTGGACTCCATGGCAAAAGGCCAGTGCTGACCAAAAAACTTCTCATGACAGGATTCTGATTTTGGGAAAGAGCTGTGGTGAGCTCTCCTCTCAAGCCTGTTCTTGCTAAACCTGAGCAGATTGGTGACATGGGAGGCAGAAGGTTTCTAGCAGCTTTTGGCAGAATGCTGAGGCCAAGGGCCCTCCCTCCTCCTGCCATGTGCTTAGATGACTCCTGTTAACTGCCAAAAAAATGACAAAACGAGGTTTACAGGCAATATTAGCTGTTTGGAGCTATGGCTTGGCCCAGTTCTTGGGCAATTTAGATCTTTTTCTCTGGAAGGTTAATGGAGGCTATACAAAGGGCAAAGAGAGCTGCTAATACTACTTTACTTTTTACAGTTCCCAGTACAGAATACAAAACTTCTACGCCACATGGTTCAGAAAGTAAATTTTTGCTCTTAATTCCTATTTTTTGGGGTTTTTTTTCAGTAACTATTCTACATCAAAGAAAGACATTGAACATGTGAGGGCTGAGGAAAACCCTGCTTGAAATCACAAAAATTAAATGCCTGAGAATTCAACCATACAAACCTGGTGCATTTGTCCAACAGCAATACTGTACAAATGCAGCTAACAACTCTTGTGTTATGCTGGAAATAAGATATTAAGCATTACTAAAAGCAAGTTACAAAACCATTAAAGATACCTCTACCTCAAATGAGAACAAATTTCTAGCATCATGGGTGTGTCTCCTCCTGTACATGAGACTTTACAGAATTGATCTACTAAAACTGCAAGCATATCAGTTCCAAGGATGCCTGCAAACACCCCAAATCAAAGCTGAACACCCCTTCCCCAAAATAACAGCTCATTTTCTAGCCTCCAGTAAAGAATCTCTGGACAGATGCAAACATTTCTAGATTTGGCTTTAAACTTCCTGGAATTCACCTTTTTGCCTTTCACATAATCACTCGACTGCTTGCTGTAAGAAGGACAGCTTTCGCTAACAGACACCTCCCTGTGCTATCATGGAGTCAACATTCACATTTATTTTCTGGATAAAAAGCATAAAAAATTTAACACCCTGGAAAAAACAGAAGCAGCTGAATACTGTAATACAGCATGATCTCTTATCATGCTTTCTCCTAAAGCAATAAGCATATGTTTTCCATCCTGCCATTGTCCACCAAATCTCTTGCTCTCCATGGCTTTTTTTTTCTACTCCAGTATCTGCAATAAATACTCCAAAGGGAGATTAGAGCCTGGTTGTTTATCTCCTTGTGAACACGTTTTTTGTTGTTGTGTACCTATATGATAATCTTACTTAATCATTTTTACTGGTTTTCCTGTAAGGAGCAAAGATGTTTTGCTTTTTTGCTGTGAAACAAGATACATCAAAGCCCATCTGTGAAATAGACAGCACGATTGTATTAATTCATTAATTCACTTCTCTCTTCTTTGAGCAGCTCCCTATCTTTGCAGTCTCTCATTGAGCTCCTTATTTAATCTCCTAAATAAGTGACCTAATCGTTGGCTAGAAGTCAAGAGGAGCTGATGGCTGGTCACTAGTTTGAAAAACAGGTGCCTTTTTCCAGGATCCTATGTGCAGTCAGCCATCTAAATACAGAACTTAAAAAGAGTGTTTTTCAAATTCTTTAACGTTTAAATGTGTGCCAACTTGAGTTTTTTAAGTGCAGCCATTTGGTGGAAAATAATCCTCCTGAGCTTCTGCAGGGCAAAGTGAGAATAGAGGGTGAAAAGGCAACAGATAATGACAGGATTTTATCTGGGCGATTTAGAACTCCTTTGTCTCTGCTAATTTCAGGAGCTGGAAAATTAAGTAAGTCATCAAAATCTTGTGCTTTTTCTCCCCCTCGCTTTTGACCTCAGAACATAATTGCCTCTTGTCATGCCTGCAGGGCACGGGCTTGTAGTTATCACTGTGTGCTTAATCAAATGCTGAAATAGCCTTTAAATTATGTGTCTCCTTGGCTGCTAGAGACTTGTTGAGCTCTGTTACATTTAGAGGCATGATGGTAGTAGATGTACTTTTAAAAGAAAAGTGTGGGTTGATGCTTTTAATTAGGTTTTATATGCAATTTTCCCAGCAAAGTCATGTTCTGGCTCAGAATTTTCAGAACGAAATTTCAGTGCATATTTAAGGGCCGTGAAACAAAAGCTGGAATTGTAGAGATAATTATTTCCACAAGCTCTGTCTATGGTTTGGTCTGCCCAGCTAAGTATCTGACTTACTGTTCCCAAGTGCAAACAGAGCATGCTGAGGGAAGAGGTTTCCTAGTAATTTGGAAGAATGCTTCTGTGTTGGTAATTTTGTGGTATTCAATACTCCCACAGTTCACCTTGGGTCTGTGGGGAAAAAAATCATAAAGTAATAATAAAAAAAGTCGCCCTCCCCTTACTCTCAAGCCTACTCAGGTGTGGGTAGGAGCGGAAATCCTTTCAGTCAATGAGCTTTGTAGGGCTCTCTCCATATTCTGAAGTGCTTTTCTAAACCAGGGCCCTACTTCTCCCTATTAGGATATAAATGCTCCTTAGTGCATTTTTGCAGCATGCAGACGTTGCTCAGTATTTCTTCTCTCTCTTTTCCTTCATCCAAATTATGTCTGGCCTCTGATCTCAAGAACAATATTAATAGCAAGCAAAAGCTTGAGTTAAAGATGATGACAATAAACATTTCTCAAGCATCCAATACTCCCAATTTCCCAGCATTTTATATCAACAAAGTTCTGACCAGCTTAAAAAAGCTTGGTTGGTCCAAAGTTCTCTGAAATCTTATGATTAATATAAAAATACGGAAATATCATTGTTTCTCCCCCACTTTCTCTGCAGATGCTGACAAACAAAAAAATCACAAAAAAACCCCCAAAAAACAAAATACACAACAACAAAAAAACCCACACACAACCACAAAACAAACAACTCTGTCTCTTCTTGATGGACAGGCTGGAAAAGCCTTTCTTCTACTCTCAGCCTGCAGAGGGGTTAAAGAAAGGTGCATCCTACAGACAAAGGCCGGTGCCAAGACATTGCAGCAAGGGCTTGCAACATCCATATCCAGCTCCCCAGGGAAGAAATGAAGACTGAAGCCATCAGCAGTGCTGGACTGTTCTGGTCCCCACTCCCAGCTCTCCCCTATGTGCCTCAGCTGATTGCTGTCTCATCTATCAACTGGGAACATTATCTTCTCTCCCCCATTAAGCACTCTAAAATCTGCCACAGAAAGGAAGAAGAGAATTAGATGTATCCTCAGAAAGTGAAGCATGTGGCTTCGGCTTTGATTTCCCCACATGAATCAAATACCCACATCCTCCTAGGTCATCTTGGGCTTTCTTATTTTATAGACAATATCAAAAGTAATTTGCAACTTTCCTTTGGTCACCTTCACCTTGATCCCCTTTACCCAGCAAACAGCTAGCTATAAACAGACTTCAAAACTGAAAGAGCATCTTTGTACATGGTGGGATGGAGTACACAAAAAAAGAAGAGAAACAGAAGGCTGTTCAACACCCCAGCCAAAGCAACCAAAGAAATAAAAGCTAAAAACCAGAAAATCCTCATACACTTTCCTGTGCTGTTTATGTGGAGGTTGAGGTCAACTATCTTATGGTTCCATAAATTGCTTACTGTATCTCCATTACAACACACAAGGGGCTAAACAAGAAATACCTGCTAGGGATTTGCTCCCAGCTTCTGTGAGTGAAAACAGAATAGATATTCATCTCTAAGTTTATATCTGATGCCCTCCCTCACAATTAAAAGGATACACAGAAGGTTGTAGCAAACATAGAGAGGATTT